AGAGTGTGTGGTGTAAGATGCAAACTTCTACTTACACAAAGAGAATCCTAGGTTTATTTAATAAAAAAGAATGTGATTGGTCTACTTTGTACTGGTATTGTGAAAATCATCCAGTTATAACATTTCATGCATATTAGAGTGTGTGGTGTAAGATGCAAACTTCTACTTACTCAAAGAAAATCCTAGGTTTATTTCATAAAAAAGAATGTGATTGGTCTACTTTGTACTGGTATTGTGAAAATCATCCAATAATAACATTTCATGCATAAAGATATAAAGTGCTGTTTAGGTCTTGAAAAGTTCTTACTTTTTTTGCTCATTGGGCATTAAAAATGTTCAATGAAACAAATAGACAAAAATTATCGTACTTTTTGCAAATTTCTATTCATACATAATTCTTAATGTATAATTTCTGTTAAATTTACCAGTTCATATTGTTTCTCTTTGTTTTTAGAGTATTCTCGGTGAAATCTTAAAGTGTTAGTGGTTCGGGTATGCATGAAATGTTATAACTGGATGATTTTCACAATACCAGTACAAAGTAGACCAATCACATTCTTTTTTATGAAATAAACCTAGGATTTTCTTTGAGTAAGTAGAAGTTTGCATCTTACACCACACACTCTAATAGATTTTCATGACCTTTAGAAACCTGTACAAAACCCATATCTTATTTACTAAGCCTTTACTTGTTAGGTATTAAAACACTACTTTATTACATTTGTCTGGTTCAACATGGGTTTTCTTTTGCACAAAGTGATAACTATACTTGTAGAATATTTTGTTCATCATTGTTCAAGCTGGCCAAAAAAATATATCAACAAAACATTATTGCTCCAACAATTTATACTTCAAATAGCGAATAAGGCCTAATACAAGCACAGAAGATATTAGTTCCAAATATACAAGGAGGAGAAATGAACTGAAGATTTATGATTAAAGTTGAGAAAAAAAAATTTAAAGCTAAAAATAATGCAAAAAAGGACTTACCTCAAAGTCTATTCTGTCTCTTTTGTATAACATTTATTCTCATTAGAATTTAGTAGAAGTATTGCAAGTGTTTTGTGCGTAGTTTTCTAATTTGCTCTTTTTCATTAAACTAGGTACATTTTGCAATTGTTAAATTCTTTCTTCCCATTTTTTTTTAAGTGTTGTTTTTGGTAATGTATTTTACTTGCAATGTTTGTTCAGTAGTAGTCTTTAACCTCACTTTCTGCTTTATCATTAGTTCCATTACTTATATTTACTAAACCTGGAAGGAATTATGTCACGTTTTCTGTAGTTTCAGTTATATCCAACAAAAGATTATTATACTTACTTTTCGTGCATACACATAAATTTTTGTATAATCCAAGCAGTAGAGTTGGGATTGTGGCTTTTTTTGCTTCTTCCATCCCTGAAGTGCTCAGATAGTACTACTTCAGAGGTCTTTAATAACTACTATAAAAGAAAGGCGTAGACCATGTAGTATTTGAAGGCACAACTTCATTTGATTTAATTAATGAGGAAAATTGGGATTTAGGTTAATGTTATAGTTTAATACCTACTTTCTGTTAACATTTGTTTGTCCTCATCTCATTCTTCTATCATATGTTAAAACAGTTTTTGTTCTTTACAGTTTTATTTGTTGCATGGCAGTAATACAGTTTTCTATCTTTAGTTCATAACCATAATAATATATTCACTCTCTTATTATTCATTATTTGCAAACTATGAATTTTTACAAAAATCTTTCTAAGACTGCAGTATTATTTTTTAGCACATAAAGAGAAATACAGAGAATCCACATCATTGAAGATCAACTGTATTTTTCTTCTAGTTGCTAGATCCGATTCTAGCTTCCTGGCTTTAGTAGAGAACAAATATGTTACAATTGATCTAATTACTAGTAGTATAATTTGCCAGTATGAAATGACAAGCTATTAGCCAGTTATTAGTAAAACAGAAGAATCACAGTACATTATCGAGTCAGGTTAACTGTTAAAGGAAATAAGGTCTTTTTTCTTTTATATTTCTTTGTCTTATAAAACCTCTTATGGTGCATCAAATTTTGGTACATTTCTTGGCCATATGAGAAAATCATCATTTAATATATCAGAACCATTAATAAATAAATATTGATTCATGGAACAAACAAACAGATGTGTATATTTTCATAATTTTTTATATTTTAGTTTCTTCATTTTATAATTTGTATTGATATTAAGTAAAGATAGTAGTTTTTCATTATAACTTATAAGTTCTATCCAAATTATATTTATATTAACAGTCTTTGTATTCAGGCTGTATTGGTTTTATCTTCCGAGATAAATCAACATTTCTTTAATGTTTTTCCTACCTTCTTTTACATTCTTTAACAAAGTGATTCAGTGATTCAATATCCTGTCTGTCTTGTTCCTTTCCTAATTTTGGTCCCCCATATTCTGTTTTTACTGAACATTGGTGCGTGCAAATGTAAACTTTCCCAATGCAAAATATTTGAATTTTCTTAGTATCCATTCATTATCCTTAATAAAATCATTTTCCCTCCATTTTAGCTGCACACTACCTATCTTTAAATGAAAATGTCTAAAATATGTCATGTTTATATAAAATCTTTCAATAAACCCTACAATATAAAGTCATTCAACACAACCTACAAGCTTTGTATATTAGTCTTGTAATGCCAAGAGCTGTTACATACCTTTCTCAAATTTAATCAGTTTGTGGTGGCATTACACTTTCTACAAAATGCCAAACAAATGTCAAAATGTATTTGTGATTTGTTCTGTTCCATCTTGACTTTATATCAGGTATGGTTGTCACATGACTTGCTTATTTGCATATTCAAAATTGTTCTAATATAACGTAAACTGTATTTATCAAATCCATTATAAGGAATATGTGAGGCTATTAACTATTTATCGTAGTTAGTAGCAAGTTAATATCTATCTTTTCCTTACTCCCTTCATTTAAAATTGGACCAGTGATACCTAAATGTATTGTGCCAGACACTGGATAGGAGCATTAACATATCACTATAATAATTTGGATAATATATTTTATACAAGAGACTATAGAATTTCATGACATACGTGAAATGGTTTTTAAGAGACTGTAAGCTTCAT